CAAACAAATGCGGCCTTCTGAAGTTACTTAACAAAAAGAAATTCCTAGGAGGGTCTGAAAGTGTGCCCAAATGAGTGTTTAAAATGTAATTTCGGGGCAGAAGTGTAAAATTAACAGAGAATGATCTGATATTTTAAAAATCCAAATGGTTGAGTAACCAATGATAATAATTTTTTAAAAATATATTTTTATTTTATTTTTTTTACAGAGAGAAAGGGAGAGAAATAGAGTTAGAAACATCCATCAGCTGCCTCCTGCACACCTCTCACCGGAACGTGCCCACAACCAAGGTACATGCCCTTGACTGGAATCGAACCTGGGACCTTTCAGTCCGCAGGCCGACACTCTATCCACTGAGCCAAACCAGTTAGGGCACTAATGATAATCATTATGCTTACTAATATAATAAGGATTTGCATATGGTGTTGTATATACCCTGCATAAAATATCTCGAGGGATGTATGTTAGCCTTCATCTGAGCTGACCAGCCTAAAGTTAGAAGATTCTGAGTTTGTATCGCCACCGTGTGACAGAACTGGATCTGAACCTTCAGCTCCAAGGCCCTCTCTTTGTTTATCTGGAGTTTGTAAGAAGGTACCAATAGTCGGGTTCATTCTGATGCAGTTTTTCCCTCCCTTGCAGGTTCTAAGCAGGCCTGGCCCTACGGATTGTGAGAGATCTGACCAGATTCACAGCATTTGGCCTGGCACCATGGCAAGCAATTAAATACCCCTGGTTTGCCTGGGGAATGAAAATTATTTGCTCGTTAGGAACGAGAATCATTAATTTGGCGATAAAGTTGCATCCTATGCATTTCTTGTAGAGCTTTCTCTTTAAAAAATCAAAGCATTTCTGGAATAATTTACCAGTTCATTTGCCCCTATTTCACGGTGTGGAGCAATGGTTCAAAACCTCAGCGTGCATCTGAGCCCCGCCCCTTCCCAGCTAGTTAAAGGGTAGATAACGGGGCCCCGCCCCAGGTCTTGGGCGTGGCCTAAGAATTTGCATTTTGGACACATTTCCAGGTGATGTTGATGCTGCTGGTCTGGGGGCCGCCCTTTGAGAATCACTGGTGATGGCAAACTGCAACATGGTTTAGTTGACTGCTATGTGCCCCCGTGTAACCAAACAAAGGAGAGCAGGGATTGGGTGGAATTGATCCCTCCCCCCCCCCCCCCACCCCCCCCACCCCCCCACCCCCGTCTTCCTGCTTCTTTCAATAAACACAACTGGATCTAATCACCTTCCCATCTCAGTGCTCTCGTGCTGGTGCAGACATGGGACTGCCCGAATCTCCAGTCACACCAGGTCCAGCTGATGGAGCGGGGAAGCTGAGGCCCAGAGAGGTTATGTCATGGGGCACAGCTCTCCGTTCCATTTCACCGAATCTGTCTGTGACCCTTTCTGTGAAGAAGAGCAGTGCCCAGGCCAACCAAGGCAACGGGAAGGTCAGCCTCAATGTAAGCTGGGGAAAGCGAGAGGAATCCCATGTTCACATGGTTTTGGTTCTCACTGGTAATCCCATGAGCCTCCACAGGGGGGCAGGGTATACCAGACTGCGCAGTTTTCTCCGTTTCCTTCTAATTTTTTTGGTGGGGAAAAAATCTAACCACGAAAAAGAATGCCTCAGTTAAGCTGCTAAAGCTGCCTCTCACTTCAACTCGAGAACCTCCTGCCTTTTTTTCATGTTCTTCGTGGATAAATGCGCTGAAGAAATTACAGGAAAACCTTAGGACCGAAAACATCAATTCTCTAGCATTATTTCAAATTCTCCAATTGTGAGATCTCAAGGCAGACTCTGACTTGCAGTGTGCTCTTTGTATCTTTATTTTTACAACACACACACACACACACACACACACACACCTCAGGCTTTGACATGGCCTGTTAACATTCCTATTTGAAAGGGAAGAAGAGAAAAGCTTTCTACGTTACTGTGGATCATTGTCACTAAATTTGAAAATGAGTTTTTTTTTTTTTTTTAAATAGAGGAGAAGAGTTGGGTTAGGAGTTAGAAAGATGTGTCTCCTCGTTCTTCTAGATTTCTGGCAGCTTGTGACCTTGAGCCCTTCCACTGAGCTTGCCTGTTCCTCTCTCTGCTCACCTGTGAAACCAGGGCTGCAGCCCTTCCAGCAAAGGGCAGCCAGCACTTCCCTGCATGGACCAGGGGCTGGTGGCAATGAGGGAGGGGAACCCTGAAGCCTGTGTGGTCACTGTCCTGGTGTCATTGACTCTCACACAGAACCCCACGGAGTGCGAGTGCGCGGAGGAACCATCAGCCAGAGCCAATAGGCTCATCCCTTTGTTTCCTGTTTACCGATAACTTGGAACAGATAACAGTTGCTGTGGGCAAAATGGAAAGGGAATACAGAAACCCGCAGTGGCCGGCAGGAAACATTTTATTGGACGGAGAGACTGAAACCATGAATCATCATCGTTAACCAGACTCCGTACCGATAGAAATTAAAATGCTGATAATACAAACCACAGGTATTCGCTGCCCTGGAGGAAGAGGTGGAAGGAGAGCACAGAAAAAGGCCTCTGTGGGATGACACTCAGGCAGATGGACAGAGGGAGCCGAGCCTCAGAGCAGGCCCAACAGCACACATGGATCACCCCGGGGCTGCCAGGCAGGGAGAAGGGAGAGGCTGTGCCCGCAATGAGAAGTAAGGGGGTGTGAGTGTGTGGATTTGCAGAGGTGACATTGAGTCGGCCATGTCAGGGTGGCGAAGGCCTTCAGGGAGCTGCAGGGGGCACAGACGAGAGACATGGAAAGAAGTGGACTTGGCAGTAATACCCCCCCCCAAAACATGCTTTGCCATAATGTTACCTTACAGAGGAAGAACACAACATAGCATGAGAAAACGATGTGTGCACACAACAAGTAAGAGGAAATGGAAGGGAACCCATAAAAGCAAAACTGCATGACTTGGGCCTCAGTTTCTTCGTGTGTAAGATGGAGGTGATGTGTACTTACCTCAGAAAGTCTTTTTTAAGATTAAATGAGCTCCAACCGGGTTGGCTCAGTGGGAAGAGCGTTGGCCTGAGGACTGAAAGGTCCCAGGTTTGATTCCGGTCAAAGGCATGTACCTTGGTTGTGGGCACATGGCCAGGAGGGGGTGTGCAGGAGGCAGCTGGCCAATGTTTCTCTCTCATTGATGTTTCTAACTATCTCTCTCCCTTCCTCTCTGCAAAAAAACAATAAAATATTTTTTAAAAAGATCAAATGAAATGATATATGTACAGGGCTTAGGATCCGCACCATTCACAAGTTCTCTTTCCGCCCATTCCCTGGGGGAGGCCAGGGCTGGGGTGGCGGCGTGCACAGCCCAGACCTGAAGGGATTGAGGCATGAAGGGCCCAGGGAAGCAGAACTCCATCCCCAAGCCCCCCAGCTAAGCGGTTCCTGTAGGGACAGGAAAAGAAACAAAATAGCAAAGGAGAGAACAGGGGGGAATGGCAGAGGAAGTGGGAACACACGCACACACAGTCAGGTGGGAAGAAATTGTCTGAGATCACATAAAACCATAAAGGGAGGGAAAGGGCAAGAAGGAGAGCAAGGCAGTGGGCGGGCGATGGATTCTTCTCTCCGGGAATGGGAAGGACTCTGGGTTTGGGGCCTGCGCCCTGGGTTCTGTCCTTGGCTAAGTGTCCCTGGCAAAGTCACTTAACCTCTCTTAGGATCATTTAAAAAAAAAAAAAAAGCCTGTGACAGTGAACATAGTAAGGCCAACCGCAGGGAGCTGTTGGGACATGAAGGGAGAGCATGTTGGGGTTGAGGCCTGAGCACCCAAATCATAATAAGGGAACTGCCGTCCTCAGGGGTCTGGGCTCCCCCCCGCCCCCCCTCGCTGGCTGTGGGAGAGAAACAGCCAGAGACAGGCCGGCTGGGAGAGCAGCGGAGCAGTGGGCGGGAAGGCAGGCCCGGAGAATCTGGGGACAGATAAAGGAAACTCGTGATGGGGCGAGGCTGGGCTGAAGAGAAACAGATTGGGGAAGAGCTGCGAAGGGAGGGTCCGCAGACAGGGAGGGAGGTGGAGGCCGGCTGGGCAGGCGGGAGAGGGTGGGAAGGCGGAGAGCGATGGGAGGGCAGAGGGAGAAGGGAAGCAGGCTGGGGAGAGAGAGAGGGCTTGGAATGCAGAAAGCACTCGGGGAAGGAGGAAGTACTGGAGGCCGAGGGAGAGGACAGAGGCAGGGGGACATGGGGATGGACAGATCGCCAGGGGGAAGAGGATCCGGGTGGAGGTGGGGGGTGGGGACAGACGGAGAAAAGAAGCGGTTCAGCCCGCGTCCATCCCAGGAGGAGGCTGGGGACTTCCCCAGGAGGGGCTGCGGCCCGGAGGAGAGCGAAGGAGCTCTCAGCATCCATCCGGGCTCTAACGGGTGACCTTTGCCTGACCTTGCGGGTCGGAAACAGACGCCCTGACTCTCAGGGGAGCTGCACGAAGCCGAGAGAACGGGGCTGGCTGCTCAGGGCCGGGCCCTGTGCCTGGCGCTCGGCGAGGCTCCTCTGGCCCGGGGCCGGGCCCTAAGGGGAGCGCACCGCCCGCCTGGAAAGCCGGGGGCAGAGGGAGGAAGGTACCACCGCCCGCAGCCAGCGCGCAGAGGCCCGCAGGGGCGCCCGCCCCGAGCTGTCTCTGGGGGGCGCCACCGCCCGGGCCAAAGGCTCCCCGAAAAGTGGAGGCGGATGGCAGGGACCGGCCTTCGGACAGTGTTAGGGGGACCCCGGCCCTGCGGAGGCCCCTGGATTCCTGGCCGCCTTCCCCCTGCCCAGCCCGGCGCCCTCGGCCCGCTGTGCGCGCTCCGGCCCGGCAACCCCGAGCGCGTCCCGCGGGGGCGCTGCGCCTCCCTCCGCACCGCGCACGGCGGACCCTCTCCCCCACACCTCCGGCCGTACCACCGGCCTCTCCGCCCGCCCTCCGCCCCCCTTCCCTTCCTCCGCGCCCTCCCCTCCCCTCCCCCGCAGCCTAGGGGCGGGAGGGGGCGTGGCAGGCCCGGGGTTTGTGTGGCTGCGACCCGGCTCCCCGCACTCGGAGTCCGTCCGCCCCGGGAGCCGGCCCGGCGCTGTCCAGCCATCCGTGCGCCCCGCGCCCCGCGCCCCGCCGCCGCCCGGAAAGCCGCCGCCCGCGCTCGCTCGCTCGCTCGCCATGGACACTCCGCGGGTCCTGCTGTCGGCCGTGTTCCTCATCGGCTTCCTGTGGGATCTGCCCGGTTTCCAGCAGGCGTCCATCTCCTCCGCCTCGTCCTCCGCCGACCTGGGCTCCGCCAGGGGGATGCGGAGCCGCAGGGAAGGGAAGCTGCCCCGGCCGCCGCGGGAGCCGGAGGAGCCGGAGCCGCAGCCGCGGGCGCAGGAGCCGCCGGCCGCGGGCCCGCGCGTGGTGCCGCACGAGTACATGCTGTCCCTCTACCGGACCTACTCCGTCGCCGAGAAGCTGGGCATCAACGCCAGCTTCTTCCAGTCCTCCAAGTCGGCCAACACCATCACCAGCTTCGTGGACCGCGGGCTCGGTGAGTGACGTGGAGGGCGCCCGGCCTCTCTCTCTCTCCCCGCGGGGCGCACGGCCCCGGCGGCTCCCTCCCCGCTCCGGACGCCGCTCCTGTCTCCTGTGTTTTCTCCCAAGTCCGAGTCCCTTTCCCGATGCATTTTCCTGACAGTCCGCCGTCCCCCTGCCTCCCCTGCCTCCTCCCGCCTCCTCCCGCCTACTGCCTCCGGGCTTGTGGAGGGCGGCGGGGTGGCCGCCGCTCTGGTGTCCGCGGGGGCGCGGGCCGGGGCCGGAGCGGAGAGGGGGCGCGGGCACTGACTTCGGGAGCCGAGCCGCGGGGTCGCGGGTTTGGGGGGTGAGGGCGCCGTCCAAGCCCTGAGCTGCGGCGGGGACCGCGGGCCCCGGGGCGGAGGACGCCCGGAGTCCCCGTCCGCCCCGGGAGAGCCGCCGGGGGCCGCGGGCGGAGGAGCGGGCCTGCGGGCCGCCGCGTCTGGCAGGGACCCCCTGCCCCTCCCTCCTCTCCCCGCGGCTGCGGGGGTTCTGGGCTCGCCAGCCGGCCGGAGCGCTGTGCCTTCGGGTTTGGTTTTGTTGCGTCCGCGGGGCACTTTCCCGCCGCCCTGAGTCGCTTCTGCCGAGGCAGCGATGGGCAAGGGAGCCCGGGCAGGGGCAGGGGCAGGGGCAGGGGAGCCCGGGCAGGGGCAGGGGCAGGGGCAGGGGCAAGGCTGCTCGGTTTGGGGGTCGTTGGTACAGAACTTCACCCACATGGGTGGCTGGGGGTGCTCACTCCCTTCCTCGGCCAGCCCGCGCGCCCCTGTCGCGGGTGCCGGTGCCGGACTGCAGCGCAGCGCGGGGATGCCTTCGAGAGAAGCCGGGCTCCCCCTCCCTGGACTCGGAGAGGGACCGACAGGCGCCAGAACTGAGCTCCTGATGAGGAGAGAGCATAACGCAGAGGGAGACTGGAGAGGAAGGGAGGAGAGGAGAGGAAAGGAAGGGAAAAGGGAGGAAGGGGAGGGGGAGGAAGAAGGAGATGAAGGAGATGCAGGCTGTTATCTGCTCCGTTATCCTGCCCAGATGTAGCTCCGCGCAGGGACGCTTCCCGGCTCCCACGCTGGGGGTGCAAGTGGGGTCCCCGGGGACCTGGAACGCCGGGTTCGGGCGGAGAGGGCTGCCGGGGGTACCCTCGTGCCCTCGGGGCTTTTTCAGCCCCGGCTGACAGCCAATGGCCCTGGGCTTCCCGGGCTCCGGCTTCAGACCCCTCGCCGGCCGCCGTGTTCCTTTGGGGCCGGGGTGCAATCGGGGCGAGAGTGGCCGCTGCAGCCGGGCCGGAGGCCAGCGCGGCTCGGGGGCCGCTGGGGGCGCGGCTTCCTATGGCGATCGGAGCTGCACAGGCTCATGGGCACGCGCCCCTGGCTTCTTCCCCGGGCACCGGGCCGCCAGCCCACCGCCCCTCCGCTCCCACCTCTGCTCCTGGCTTCTGGCTCCCTCCTTCGCCCTCCCTCCCGATCTCCGGCTGACCCCCCGCCTTTCCTGCCGCCCCAGTGGAGAGAGCGACTGGGGCGCTGGGAGAGCAGCGCCCCGGAGGCCTCTCCAGGGAGGAAATCCGGAGGCCCCGGAGGCGGCGGGCGGGCATCTTTTCTTCCCCCATCAGAGGCTTCGAGCATCGCCGCCCTCCCCCAGGCGGCACCCCTCGCGGGTGAGTGTGGCGGGTGAGTGGTGTGGCGGGTGACCCTGGGACTCGGCAGGGGGTTCGGAGGTGTCTCTAGGAGCTCTGGGTCCGGGTCAGACGCGGGCTTACCCCACAGCCCCTCCCGGCCCCCAGCGCTGGGAGCCCCTGCACCCCGGAGCTGGGGGAGCGCCCGGCCGCGCGCCCAGGCCCGGGCTGGGGAGGGGGCGCCCCGTCTCCCGGCCACGGCTCCGGGCCACGGTCTCCCGGCCACGGTCTCCGGGCCACGGTCTCCCGGCCACGGTCTCAGGCCACGGTCTCCCGGCCACGGTCTCGGGCCACGGTCTCCCGGCCACGGCTCCGGGCCAGCTGGGATGCGGACGTCCGGCTCCAGCTCGGGGATGCCCCGGCGGGAGGAGGCGCGGCTGCGGCGCCCGGCCCGCAGTCCCCGGTGCGCGGTCCTCTCCACGAGGGAAGGCGGGGAGTGGACCCGGGAGGCTCCGGGGCTGATCGCACGCCGCGTGGGGGGCCAAGGCGCGCTCGGAGCCGCGGGCTGGAGGGGGCGCTGGGAGGAGGGGCCGCTGAAAGGAGGAGGAGAGGCGCTCGGAGGAGGGAGGGGCGCTGGGAGGAGGGGGCGCTAGGAGGAGGTGGCGCTGGGAGGAGGGGGCACCAGAGGAGGGGGCGCCGGAGGGGGGGCACCGGAGGGGGGGCACTCAGAGGAGGGGGCGCTCGGAGGAGGGGGCGCTGGGAGGAGGGGGGTCTCGGGGGAGGGGGCGCTCGGAGGAGGGGGCGCTGGGAGGAGGAGGGGCGCTGGGAGGAGGGGGCACCGGAAGAGGGGCGCTGGGAGGAGGAGGGGCGCACCGCGGGCCGCGGCCCCCGCCAGATACAGGACAAGCCTCCCTTTCCCTCTCGCTGATCCTGATGTGATGTGTCACCGGCGGTGACCTCGGGCTGGACCTCGCGGGGCTTGCCTAGCACCGGGCCCCTGATGGGAGCGCTTCAGCCCAGCGATCTAATTGAGGGCTCATGTCACAACCCATCAGGCGGGGGCTAGTCTGCGGTGATGGAGGGGGCCGCCAGCCGCGCACCCCGGCCCCCGGCCCGGACTTCCGCCGCCCCACGTGGGGACTCCCTGCCGCGCCGGCACCCCCTCCCCCGGCACCCCCTGCCCCCACCCCGGGGACCGCGGGGGGCCGGGAGGGGGGAAGCTCAGCGGCCACGCGGACCTGTCGCCTGGCCTCCAGGACGTTGGAATCGCCCCGGGCTGGGGCGGGCCGGGCCCAGAGGAGCTGGGGTCGCTGGGGTGGGGGTGGGGGGTAGCAGAGGGAGAGGAGCAAAGCGAAAGGCAGGAATCCAGGAGGCGGCGTGCCAGGCCAGCCGGGCTTACTCACGTGCAGGCAGGATTGGCAAAAAAACTTCCCTCCCACCCCAAGCTTTGGAGTAAGAGCGGAGGAGCAGGGATAAGCCCCTTCCAGGGTGAAGGGAGAGGAGAGGGTTTAGGTCTATCCAGACAGCAAGGCTTGTTCTACCTCCCCCATGCCGCCCATCTTCCCCCCTCCTCAACGCCCCCCCCCCCCCGCCGCCGCAGGAGAACTTATTGCACTTGGGGGGAAAATTAATAGTCCTTTCTCCTTTCGATTTGCTCTGCAAACATCTGGGGGAATAATAGCAACCAAGATGCGCTGAGCATGTGCTGTGAACCAGGGATTGGGCTTAGCCCGGCTACATGAGTTATTTTATTCGATTCTAACAACCATCTCCAGGAGCGGGGCCCAATCACAGGTGAATAAGGAGGACAGAGACCCCCTAGCGAGAGGGGGAAACTCACCTCTGGCTCCAGATCCTTCTGCTTGCCCCTGGGGCACTGTCCGGGGAGAGGAGGGTTTGGAGCCATTGTGGGGGCAGCAGGACAATGGACAGATTTCCCTCCGGGTCTCTAAAGACCCCGGCCGGCCGGAGTCCGAGTGGAACCTGGGATTGAAGGGTCTGCTAATGCTTCGTTTCCCCTTTATATCTGTATACCTTGTGCAGGGCACAGAGGACTCGTATGGGATCCCTGATGTTTTAAAATGTCTCCACACTGTCCTTTTGAATTATTTCGAATCTATAAAGATGGTAACGGGTGTGCCTGTGGTGTGTGGGTACAGTCAGAGGATCAGAATGGACCAGGCTGGAGAGAGAGGGACATGACAGTGAGTACAAGGTATAACTAACTTAGGAAAAGCCAGGACCTGGAACTCAGGGGCCTGGGGAAGTCGGACAACGAGAACTTCTATGGATTCAACGTGACTTGAGAGACAGAGGGGAGGGAGGGAGAGAAACAAAACCGGACTTTCCGTTTGTTTATGTCGCGAGAGCGCCACGAGGTTCCAACAAGGGGAGGGCAAAAACACTTCCCAAGGATGAGGACGCCAACAGGAGGCTAAGACGATTGCTGAGACTTAGATCCCAGGTGCTGTGGAAGGAAAGATACTCTTTGGGAGCGCTTCTCGGTGGTTGTCACAATAGTGCGCTCAGAAAGGAGGCAGGAGGGAACAGATAAAAACAAAACAAAAACAAACAAAAACCAAAACAAAAACGAGATCGGAACGTCCTTGGAGAACTGGACACCCTGGGCGTGAATCTGCGGAGAGTTGGAAGCTGGTGGTTTGCCGGCTTCTGGGTGGTTGCCTGGGGGCAGCGCCAGACCTGCCGGGTGGCGGGGCCTTGGGGAGGGCGTTCTCAGCGCCGCTGCGTTTTGTGTGTGTGTGTGTGTGTGTGTGTGTGTGTGTGTGTGTGTGTGTACGTGTTCATGCAAAACCGCGAATGGCCCGCGAGTGTCCGGGCGGACCTGGGCCGCGGAGCGCTTTTGTGATCCGCGCGGCAGGCAGCGCCGCGGCCGGGACCCTGTTGTCGTTGGCAAACGGAAAATGAAATATAAGCGGAGAAGCATTTTAATGGGGACGGAGGGAATTCACAACTGTTAATTATTTGGTGACCTTGTATTCGATTTGTTTGAGTCCCTTATAAAAACACTAATGCAGACCAGACGGGACTGAGCGAGGAAGCCGGCAGAAGGTTCCAATCTGGGCTTGATTTCCCCGGAAAGAGGGAACAGCTTTGGGAGAGGGTTGCTCAGCGTCCCGGTGTGTGTATGCGTGTCTGTGTCTCGGACCTTCCTCCAGCCAGGGGGCCTGGAGAGTCCTGGGGAATATCCGGGAGTCGGGAAGGAAATCTTTAACCACAAGTGTGTTCTGGACTCCTGGCTGGCAGGATGAAACCACTAAGGCCTCCACCGAACCCTTAGCCACTGGCTTGTGGTTGAACATCCATTACTGTCAGGCGCATCCCTAGGGCCTCAGAGACCCTGGCCAGGCCCCAGC